TGACACCACCAAAAGCATGGGACCCTGTGGGGAAAACATGAAAAAGCGCCGTTTCCCCTGTTTCTAAGCTGTTGTCGGCACTGAAACTTCTTGGCTGCTTTTTGGGAAGCCTGTCAAGTAACATGTGTACAAAGATGAAAACTTGCAGCCCTCACAGTTCTTATAAATAAATGTTTTGTGGTCGAGTGTGACTCCGCTGGGCGAAAAATGAAGTGCAGCTCAATGAGGCGAGAGTTGCCTGGAGTTACCGCAGAGTCGGTGGCGGTTTCGTTGAGTTGGGTTTAGCAGACGACACGCTCGAAGGCTTTGCTACGTGGAATTTGCTCACTCCTGGAAAACCGCTGTCGAGATAAAGCTTCTTTGTCATTCATCAACTTCTAGACTTCCCCGAGGACGGTTTCATTGACGGCAAGTTTTTTTTTTGTTTACTCCCCTACGAGAGCAAGCTTGCCAGCTCAGCCGTAGGTGCTCCGCTACGTTTGATTTTTTTAATTGACGTTCGAACGTATGACAAATACTGATTCGATCTCCAAACACCCTACATAAGGATCACAGCATGCCATAAAATACTCCCCTCCGAGCACAGCATACATGCTTGAATATTTTTACTTCTGTGCGTTTCTCCCATAGACTTGCGTGTATTGCCTAGCGTCAAGCAATGGCCACCAGTGGCGACACCGACGGGCTCCCGATCCGCGATTAAGCCTACTGCAATGGAGATCAGTGACCATGACCCTTTATACTGAAAGAACCTTGGCGAGCTAAAAGGCAAACCTCTTGGTCAGTAATTTGAGATTTCAAAGGAAACTGAAGTGTCATTTCCTCAGGACCACTGACCCTGTGCTCGACAAAGTTTATTTGTAAAAAACGCGTGTTTTTTGTTTTCTATTTTGTCATTGTAACCTTGAAATTCTGAGCCATTTGGATAAATCCGAATTGATAGAAAATTTACCGGCAAGTGTTTTCCAGACTTTTTTTGTTTTTATTCGAAAACATGGAACCCTAATTATAGCTAATTACTTTTAATCTATTGAATCTAGGAAAAAGAAAGATATAAGGTGCTGTTTAGTTGTTGCTGAAAACAACAATGCCAAGTTTATTGATATTCACTTATGCAAACATCAAAACTTCTGTAAGGCAACTTATAAAAAAAAGTTAAGAAAATCATGCTTCCAAATTGTTTTTCTTCGGTGACTTTTATCTTCTGAATTCATAGGAAATAGAATTAAGCTTTAGGATGCAGTCCAGCTCAACACAGAAATACCAAGATGCCTAAAATGTGTTTATGCAAATGGTATAAAAAACCCAATCCAAAAATGACCGATAAAAGAAAAAAAGACAGAAAATCATTGAGCTTTTTTATTTTATGTGCGTGTCCGGGTTCACAGGAGTCCTGTCAGGCTTGTGCCTCTTGGCCATTCTCCTCAGCTTCTCCCTCTCCGTGTGATCCTTGTCAGCCTTGCTTTTCCTTCTGGGGCTCCTGCGAACCAGACAGTTTCCAGTGCAGTAGCCGAGCTGCTCTGATAGCGCCATGCTGGTCTTCAGCATGCCTTGGTTGAGGCGAGACACTGCTTGAGCGACAGCCCTTTTCACACCAACCAGGGAGTTGTGCTTACTCTGAGTGTTGGCCCCAGATCACCGAGTGTAGGTACTCAAGGCCGATCAGCAACATACCTTTGCTGCAACACTTAAGGGGGACCTGGTCGCCTAGCCTCGTAGCGGTTTGTTGTGTGGCAATGGCTCCTTCTGGTTTGCCAGTGGTTGTCTGTAGGAGCACCAGGAATCGTCCCCTTTGGCACAGTGCCTGTGGTCCGGGGCTTCGTTTGTCGACGTCATGTGCAACAAAGTTGCCTGCACCACCGCCTTCATCCCTGGGACGTTGTGCCTGTGGCTCCTCAAAGCGCATCCATAGTGGTCCATGATTTTTTTTTTTTTATCTTGTCTCGAGTCAGCTTCTCTCTTCCTCAAAGATTCTCCCCTTGTGCCTCCTCCTCTGCCAAGTTGGGAAGAGCTGCCCCCATCCACTTGTGCACATGGTACAGGCAGTCCTTCTCAACATCAAGGCAGCCCTAAACTTTCTCCTGCGGCTGTCTCTGTCAGAGAAGGTAGTCGTGTAGTGCAGCCCATTCCTCCCTAGAGACCTCTTGAACAAGATCTAGCTGCCTTGGCTTGTTTTTGCCCGGCATTGCAGTCAACAATTTTTAGGCACTTGTGGTTCAACCCAGCCACCATAGCCATTGTCTTGTGGGTCAGTTGCCCCCTGGCAGCCACGGCAGTACCCGGAGAGGACAACGCGGTCCATCACTAGGCCAGATAAGACAACTTGAGAATGCGTCCCACTGAAATGTTTGAGTGGTATTCACGAGTCTTTCGTATCTCATTGAAAATGGTGTCCACGTTTCCAACAGGGTCGAGAAAACTCTGGTAGGAGCCCTTGACCACCTGTACACTTGCTGCTTCTATAGCTGTTGCTGCTGCCTGGCAAGCTTGCTCTATGGTCTCCATGTGTCCCCTGAAGGTCTCGTGTTGAGGCCCCTTGTGGGAGACGTTCAGGGTGGTACGCAAGTCCGCGAGGGCAGTTGCACCTTTTTCTATGCTTGGGATCCTCTTCATTGCTCCCAAGTTGATCTCGAAGGGTGCGATCTCAGTTGCTCCAGCAACTCTTGGCAACGAAAACTGGTGCTCGGCGAAATTGCAGCTTGAGCACGTGAGCACTGAGTTCACTGCTAGGCCATACTGCCTCTCGTCGCACTTTGAAAGTTCACCAGTGGCCATCTTACACTTGCCGCAGGCTTTGGACGCAAAGGGCTTCCGTAGAACTTTAATGTCCGCGATGACTTATTGTGTGCCGCGAGCGTCGTCGCTCGCCATGCTGACGTCCAAGAGCTTGAACTTTCACAAAGTCACAGACTTCTCCGCTGACAAACGCTTTGTGTCAGCCGCAGTTTGTTTGCATTCCGCACACGCCTCCTTCATGTAGAATTCAGTGTCAATGCGATTTGTGCGCGAGCTTGGTACGGCCATGTCCATCAGTGGTAATGTGCCTTGCGGTGTCCTGGAAGTTGTTGGTTCAGTCACGTCCACAAGCGACAAAATGGCTTGCTCTGCCGCCGAACTTGACACTGTCGTTTTCAACAATGTGGTGCTTTTCTTATTGCAAGCACATCTACATTTACTGCTCACTTTCCACGTGCTCAATTTCGAACGTGTGTCCCCCACCTTTGAAATGCGCAGAATTAAATTGAACAAAGACGCGAAGTGGGCAAATATACAGTGCAACTCACTTATAACGATAATGAGAAAACTCAAAATTTCAATCATTATAATTGATTATCGTTGTATCTGGGCTTGAAACTGATCATTTCCAGTGTAGATACTCTGGAAACTGATCGTTATAAGTTGTACATTGTTATATGTAATATCGTTGTAAGTGGATTGCACTGTACGCAAAAATTAAAAGCTAAACAAAACGAGCCTGTCAGAGTTCAAAATACTTACAGGAACGATGAAAAGAAAACCAGGGGCACAAAGAACACTTGAAAGCACAGCAAACACTAAAAGTTTAAAAACAGGAGCTGGAGGAGTGCAAAAGCAGCGTGCGTCTCTAACGGCGTAGTGAACGAAAGCTGACGACGCGTACAGTCAAACCCGTTTATAACGAACAGCAGGAAATGGTACGATCAGTTCGATATAGCAAGTAGTTCGATATACCAAAAACCATTTACAACGAACTTCCCCGATGCGTTCGTTGTAAGGCGAAGAACTTTTCTATTTGTAACTTTGCACTAAAAGCTTTCTTGTTTTTTTTTTGCATGCGTGCAGTTTTTTTTAGCTTATTTTTTTTTCTGAATTGCTTCTCTTTGTGGGCAACTGCTTGGGATGAAAAGTTGTTTTTTTCTGTGTGTGCGTGCAGTGTTTTTTTTTTTTTTAGCTTTCTCCTCTTCTGAATCGCTTCTCTTCTTCGCTCAATTTTGTTCGCAGCTTGAGCTTCTAAAATTTTCTTTCTTTCCTACTTTTCTCTTTTTTTGGGGGGGGGGGGGGGTGGGGGGGCAAGGGACAGGCTAGATGATGATTGTTTGCGTGTTTTTGGAAGCCTTCCCGGGGGAAAAAGTTTGATATAGCCAATGTATTGTTTTTGTTATAAAAAGTACTTTTTACATGCATTTTGATTTCAATTTTTCATGAGTTCGATATCGACAATAACTCACTTATGTGGGTTCGTTCTAAACAGGTTTCACTGTAGCACGCTAGAGAGTGCACTGGGGAATTCAGGAGAGCAGGCGCACGCTTTGCCCAGTCAGCGTCCTTCGAGCTCTGCTCATGCTCTTCCGAATAGCATCGATGACTTCGCTGCCTTTATGCAGACGCTGCTTCAAAGTGCGCCAAAACGAATTGTGGGAAATCTGCTTTCACTCACGACCAAGATGGCGTCGGTCTGTTCTGTGGTTGCAGTGCTTCATTGGCTTGACACTTGGTCATTTTTCAGACTCTAGGTGACTAGTCGGGCCCTTCAATGCTTACAACTTGTCATTTTGTTTGTGTTTAGAGATTGAATTGGGCATTAGTATCTTGAAAGAATATACTTTGAATAAAATTTTAATTGTTGAAATGGAATTTTTTACTATGCAAGACCCATGCCCCTTAAAGGAAAACTCTGCTTTCATCTTTGAAATTGTACTGCAACAAAGGAGCTTCTTGGTCAATGGGGTTGTGTGCAAGTATGCTTGAGTCGCACTAGTGCCAGTAAGCTTGTGTAAAATCAGAAACATTTCAGTCTAATATCGTTGCATGACCCCTTTTAATTCTTCTCAATGTCTGTACACACGAGTCACGTTCGTTCAACATGGTGCACTGGGTGCAGTGTAGAGCTTCGAGAAAGATTGCCACTACCTTTCTGCGTAGTTCCGGTAATCGGAGTCTCGTCTAAGTACTAGAATGAGAAGTAAAAGTGAACAGTGATGTTTCAAGGCTTCTTTGGTGACTGGAATGCTGGCTTTCAGGTGCCCAAGAAGGCTCGAAGAAGGTGCTGCTCTTCAAGAAGGGAGGCCACTACCTGTTTCGCCGTCACCCAGAAGTCATCAACTCGGCCATTTTGGAATGGCTACACAGGGTCTGCCCACCGGGCAAGTGACCACGATGACTACACCCTCAGTTGCAGCAACCTCCAGTTGTGGCATCCCTCAGTTGCGGCATCCCCCAGTTGCGACATCCCCTAGTTGCGGCATCCCCCAATTGCGGCATCCCCCAATTGCGGCATCCCCCAATTGCGGCATCTCCCAGTTGCGGCATCCTCCAGTTGCCACCCACCCCAGTCACAGCATCCCCAGTTGCAGCACCGCCTAGTTGCAGCTTCCTCTAGGTGCAGCAACTCTTAGTTGTGGTGGCCCTAGCTGTCAGCCTGGGACAGTGGCAAGTTACACGTGATCCTTGCTGCTTTCTTTCTCGCTGGCTCGAGAAGGGACTGCAGTTGGCTTCATGTGAACCGTTTTACGTCCACATATTTTGTATCCTTGGCCCTAGCACCCTTAGACGGAGACCTAGGGACATATGAGGGTTGAAAGTGCAGGTATGTATTATTAAGCACTCATTCAAGGGCCTTTTTTGATACAGTATCCTTTCTAATATATGCAGCACCTGTTTAGATATAGTGCCTATTGTAATAGCCATGGGCTTGGATAGGGCGACTTCCAGTATGGCATCTCTTTGGTGTGACCTTTGTTCTAAACTGGTGTCTGATAAAGGGTGATCGCATGGTATACTATAGGTCACTTGATCCTAATGAATCAGTACTATATTCAACTTGCTTTCATTTCATCCATCTTTTGTAGTTCTGTCTTTATTTTATTTTATTTAGAAAAGCTGAATCTCAATTATGGCTGCATTAGGCTTTGGAGTAGAGGGCTCTTGACCCTTTATGCAAGTAACCAAGGACAATCCAACAATGACTTAGGCTTGAATCAACCGGTAATTTTTTATGAATGCATGTTGTTTTGTCTCAGGAATGTTTGTTCTCTTTCCCCTCGGAAGTTTTCAGTTCGCTTCAGGACTGCAATGGAAAGCAGTGCTGCAACTTGTTTTTTAGTTGTTACTCTTGCAGGATTAAGAGCAGCGGAAAAGTGTACCTTGCTCTCGTAAACCTCTTACTTGCTCTTGAAACCAGCACAACAAAGGTTTACTGGATTTAATATTTCTTTGGTGACATTTGGCAAAATCGGTGTAGAATTTTGTTTTCTGCAAGATTTAAAGGCACTAACAGTACAAGTGCAATAAAGTTTATTTGTACCAAGCTTTGCATTTAGCCTTCGACTACAAACATAACCTTGCTTTATAAAGTTGTCTGATTGTGTTTGCACCGAAGACATCCAACCAAGATCTTCCTAAGTCTCATAGAAATCTGCAACTTTTGACAAGGTCCATACAACAAGAGTATTTTGTGACAGCACTGTCGCTGGTGAAACCTTGGAGCACCGGGCTTTAAACAGTACTCGCTATTCTCAAGCCTACGGACCAGAACCAGAAAAGAGACATTGAATGCTTGTTGGAGGTAGCATTCACCTTCAGCACCCTTAGGTGCACTTCTTGCTGATTGTCCCGATGATGTCAGAAATCACTCAAGTAGGATTTATATTCTCTTCACCTTTTTTCTACCCTCGGATAATCTCACACTGGGTATTCTGGAGCTCATAGTATACTGTAACTCCTCCTGTAATGCTGTTGAAACTGGTCTGAGTCAGAAGAAAAGACCAACAAAGTTTCTATACCTACTGTATGTTCTGAATGCCTGTGGGTTTGTAGGCGAATTTCTTGTCATCCTTCGTGCTTTCTCTGTAGGAGTAATAGAAATGCTGTAGTATGAGTGATTGTTAGCCTCTTGAAGTAGGCCTGTAAGCGTTCGCTGTCTGTGTAAAACAATCGGTTTCGCGCGCTCTTTCGACGAAGGTGGCAGTTCTCTGCACGCCGTTGGGAAAGTGTGAGGAGGTTGGGTGAGTGCTGGACACTCCCAGGCACTTCTGAATTTCGGCACCCCTTGAAGCTGCGATATCTACACTCATTCCGTCTCTTGCTGCACATTGCTCGGCTCTGTAGCCCTACAGCACTTTCCCATTAGGCACTTTCTGGGTTTTGATTATGTGAAGAGTGCTAACATAATCTTTTGGTTGGTAGTTTCATGGAATCGCATTGCTGTAATACACTCAGAAAGCGATGAAATGTGGCATACCAACAAACATTATTACTGTTTCCGTGCAAAGCAGACAATGAGTTTATGGTATACGGACACTGTGTTCACTTTTTGACCACTGTGGCGCCTTTCGTGTTCTGCTTTCAACTGATACGTAGACAGGAGCTCTGGAATATAAGTCTTAATCTGCATACCCCCGCTCTGACAAGTAACCCGTCGCAAGCGATCTCGACCTTCGTTTCACTTGTTCCATTTCCCAATTGTTGGGAGTCTGCTCTCAGTTCTCCTTTGTTTACACTATTTTTTCTGTGTGTTATGTTTTTGTTCTTCTGCACCATTTTCAAGCTGCATACATTGGAGCACTACTGTCGTTATGGTTTTGTGTAAAGACTTCTGTGCTTTGCAATAGAACAACATTTTTCTCCATTTCTGTCGAGCAAAGAGCGGTGCCAAGTGTTCGGACTTGATAAAAAAATTCTAGAATTTCAAGCATGACTAGCATCTGGCATCTTTGATGTGCATAAAAAAAATTTCTTTCTCTTTATCTTTATTTTTTGCCTTTCAATCTATTTTTTGTCACTCTATCTTGTTTGTGACGGTTGTGTCAGGGTGCCGGCTTTAAGCAAACACTGGACCATGTTGTGAGATTAACGTAATGTCCCTAGATGTAACTGTGAATTCGTAAAGAGGTTGAAAGAAAAAGGCGAGACCGTACTATCACAATCAAAATGAGTGAGTACACAGCTCCGCATGGCCCGCGGTACTATGAGTGCCCCCTGTCGATTGCTTTTTGAAGTATAAGTGCACCTTGCCGTTGAAACATAACATCTTTAGCAATTGCCACACCACTCTGCACTTCCAGATCGTCTGCCAGCGAAAAACGGTCGGCGAAACCGCAAAACTGTTCACCAATGACAAAGAGCATTTTTTTGCTAACGATGTGCGCCAGCAAAAATAACTTGTAATATTTTTAGGGTCATCCTTTTGATTAGGAAGTTTTAGTAGATGATTTTCATGGCTCCGTTAACAATACCCGATGCCTCGCTAACGCCTTTAAGCATGCATCATATTGTTATCGGAGGTATCAAAACAATCAACAAAGATTGCCTATTATTTACTTTGCGTGAGTTCGGCGAGAGCATATGACCACCAATGTGCACAGACAAGAAGTTAGCACAGTGCTAGCTTATGCGATACCTTTTGCTCCCTGGTACTGTAAAAGCAACATGACACAACATAAAGTAATTGCAATTCGGCGCGTGTCACGGGTCCAACATTGTATTATTCTTTTTGATACTGATTTTCCCCGCAAGAATTATATGCACTAACAGACGACCCGGAAGTGCAGAGTGGTGCAGCGATCGCCACACGATATGTCTCGACCACAAGGTGCGCTCATACTTGAAAGAGCAATCGCCAGGGGGCACTGATAGCACTTGGGCTACGCGGAGCGGTGTTTGCACTGGCATTGATTGTGATGGTACAACCCGATACAGCCTATTGCTTTGTACTATCTTATGAACAACTGATGTTTGCTTCGAAAGGTATAGTGTTCACCTCAACACAAATACTGCTTTGGCCATTTTGAGTGTTGTGTGTCGGAAGCAGCATGCGCATCATTTTCACATTAGCAGCAAGTACCACTTGCTCGCGCACATGCCGAGTGAGCTGTGTGGCCTTGAAAGCCATCCACCCCTAAGCTGATAGTGCGGTGGAAGCTATGTGCTCATTAGACCAGTCGCACATCTATTTTTTGCCACATGATTATGCTCCTGCTCTGCGCAGAGAGTGGGCTGAAGTGACAAGAGGGAGGCAGCTGATTGGCCCGGCAAAGGCGGTGGCCCCACCGCTGTCGGCTCGGGGATGAACGGCTTACGGAAAGACAGTTTCATGATAAGACGTTTGTGAGAAAATGTTTGGGCTGCTTTCGGGCCAAAATTTGCGCTTCCGAGCACCTGACATTTTAAAAACATGTGGAGGCGATGGCTCTTAAAAGTATCGAACCATAAACAAAATTTAGCGACTCCTGAAGGCCATCATTTTTACACCCTTGATGTCGGTCTTTGTCTCACGTTTGTTTTGACTTGTGCTTTGAAATTTCCTGTTAGTAACAGGGGTAGCGATGTATATATGAGCTCTCATCTCAAACCTCGGCTCACAGGATTGCGCAAAAACGTTTTGTGGCTAACCGTGCACTTTATCGTGACTTTTTTTTTGTGTTGCGTGCGACTGAAGTTAGTGTTGCTGATACTCGATGTTCTCAAAGTTTGAAACCTGGAGATAAAAAAAAGATGATAAACAAACCGATTCTTGTATAATGATAAAAATCTGTGGTTTTTTTCTCATTTATTTTTTGATTATGTAGAGATTCGTCCAGTTAAGAAACTCATTCCTTAAGCAGCTCACCCATGCCCTTGCTCTATTTGATGTGTACTGCACTTGGTTTTTGGCAAGTCTGCTGATGCAGCTTTTCGGCACCAATATTTTGAGTGCATGCGACACAGAATGTGCAGTGGTGTGCGCAACTCACTTACACCCTTAATTACAAAGAGGTGTCATTTTCATAGTTATCAATACTCTTCAAGTAACACATTCACCACAAAGTACTCTTTTTTTTTTTTGGCACTGGTTGGAACACACTTTTTTAGGCTTCATCCTAATTCTTCATTTGCACTTTCTCTGCATATTTGGAGTTTGTCACTAAACTTTCTTTTCACCTTTTCTGTGCCAAGGAGACCTTTCTTTTGTAAGTGAAAGTGTGACACTTTTCTGTCATCGATTTTTTGCTTGCCATGTTCAAGTTTTTAGCACCTGTTCTAGCCAGTGTTGAGCAGATATTTCATACCTTGGAAATTCCAAAGCTATTTATTGAATCTTTCTATACTTTTCCTGTGATCTGAAGGATAGCAGCTTCTGAATCGGGTATTTCTTTTTAGCTGAGCTTTGTTTAAGGCACTGTTCTAAGTAACTCCTGGGTTAATGCTCTGTTGTCCTATTGTCATGCTTAAAAGAAATGAGTGTGTAAGGGGACTCCACAGTTAATAAAATATATAATTAATTGAATCATGTTTCTTTGAATTTGTTATACAGTCGAACCCCGCAGTAACAGAACCGCCGGGGAAGGAAATGTTTTTTGTTCTTGCTAGAATTTCGCTGTTGCGAATAAGGACAAATAAGCACACATTACTTTCCACAACTAAAATTGATGCTGTCCTTGGATTTCAGAACCTTAGAAAGTGAGCTGGACGGGATACTGAACTTCTCCAGAATATTTGACTTCTTTCTGCCAGCTTCGGCGATGAGTGCAGACTTCTCCTGAAGCGTCAAAAATCTTTCGCTTGCTAACAGGAGGCGACCTCTTTCCGACAGGCCAAACAAAAGAAAGTAAACATGGCGCGAGCGGTCTTGGCGTGCACGCAGCAGATGGCGAAATGGCAGCGGGCGGCCGGCGGTGTCATCACGTAAAACGTCGGATACCTACGTGGTTGCCAACAAATGGGGTAACAGAATGCTGTTTTCAGCGACCAAAAAAAAAAAAATATCTCGTTGCTATCATCATTATTATTTGACCGCGCCGATGCTTGTCGGAAACGTATCTGTCCAACTTGTCAGATGAGTGTGCTGCTTTTCGTACTTCTGGGTGGCTCATGTGCCGAAAAAATGCTGCAGATCACTACTTCAAACTTTCGTTAATGCGGGACTGCTTTTTAAAAACGCCTCGCTGTTGAGAGGGTGCAAAGGCATTGAACTCTATGTCATGAACGTTTATTGGGGCCGCCAGATTTCTTTCTTGCCGCAACAATTTCGTCCTTGAGGGCTTTCGGTATTTTTTTTTTTTTATTTACTTATACTACTGGTCCTTGTTCAGGACCATTGTAGGAATGTTTACATTCATGAGGTTACAAAATAGCCATCAAACAAGCAAACAAAACATCAAACATTGAGCGGTTCAACTGTAATTTGAAGTAGTTTACACGAATGACCCGCTCATAAATGCGTTCCCGTTAGCGATAAAGTAACGCACATTACTTCTGCGTTTATTTAAATTATGAACACGTTTTACTGTTTTGACGGTACAGGTCTGCATAAGCACCATATTTCAAGAAACATTATGTTAGTGCAAAAACTGAACATGATTATCTTTTTTACTCTTTCACCTAAATACAAAAAAAAATGCAAAGAAAAGCGAAAAAAAAAAATGAAATTCACGTCGCTTGGCGCCTAAAAACAACTTAAAATTGAAGTGTAATTTTTGTCTTGGAAAGAAGGAATGAGTAATGTAACTGTGTTATTTGTTACTTGAAATAAGTAATGTAGGTATGTTAACCATTACTGTGTTGAAAAAGTAACGAGTCTATTACTACGGAACTGAAAACAGTAAAGCGTTGCCAGTAACGTGTTACCACGAACACTGGTTTTGACCTCGAATGGAAATTTTCTGGCACCCCGTACTTGGGAAGAGAACATCTTCACTTCCTTTTTTCCTCTTCTTTGACTAAACTCCCTTCGCGACTTGTCCGGCACCCCCCTTGTTGGCTTCATGGAGACTCTGTCCACCACTGAATAAGGCTGGCGACACCTGTTTTGGAGCATATTTTATGAACATTGCCAATGTCGCCCGATTCATTGCCACACAGAATTAGTTTGCTTTCTGTAGCAAGTGTCAAAAGAAAACAGAAGACTTGTTATTGACTTCTTTTAATGTGTCAACATTAATACCCACATGACAGGGAAAAGCTGACGGTATCCATCTGTGAACAAAACGGTTGAAATGGAAGCATGCCATGTACAGGGGAGCAGAGTAGTGCCGGGCAGCGGTGGCATGTCCGAGTAGCAGCGTCGGTGAGACGGTTTGCTTCCGTTTTTCTTTTTGCACATATAGACCATTCCTCTTAGCGCTCTCTGGGCGGCACCATTTTGTTCGACCGCAGCGCCCTCTCCACACATCCGGGAAGTTCAGCGGGTTCGGCGGGGTAAAACGAGAGAGAGGGCACGCGCCCGACTCCGCTAGCAGACGACAAACCGGGAGGTTGCCGTTCTCCATCTTTGGGCTGTATCGGCGGGTTCTACCGAACATCGAACTCTCGCTCGTGGCTGCCGTTGTGAAGTGGTTCGCGTTCTTAGAATAGTTTTGGCTACTCCAAAATCAGCATATAGCTCTCTGTTATTCTATTTTGCTAAATGATCAACTAGCATATCTTTTTTCCGTTACTTAAATAGCAGTTGAGTCAGCCGGTAGTACTACCCTCAACTACTGCGTGTATTGCGGCTGGAGAGCACGTTTTATTTATTATTTCAGACTGTCACTCATGGGTCTCTAAAAGGCCTACACCAGTACGAACTTTTGTATAGTAAAAAAGGGACAGCAACCGGATTTACTTTTCGCCAAAGAGACCGGCCAATCTGGCACAGTTTTTCCTATTTTTGCTTTTTATTTGCACGCAGGTAACAGCGCAATTGGACCCTGTGAGTCTTTTTATCTAGCATAGTATTTCATGATAACTGGCATACCAAAATCTGCGTATCTGCGCTTGAAAGTTCCAAAATGACGCGATTTTAAACAGAGTTTGCACGCCAGCCGGACGATAGCTACAGCCCACTCGGCGGAGCGGACGACATACGGGGTGAGAGGGAAAGTGCATGTTTTTCTCTTTTACCCTCTCTGCTACGACCCTAATGGAACGGTCTATAGAAAGAACAGCTTTTTCCTTCTTGCATCTTTATTTTTTTTCCGCCCTGAAATTCTACATTCACAAAATTTGAGTGTGCTAAATTCACCACCTACAAAGACACCTTCATGAAAAGTTTTATTCCACTCTGTTCATTGGCCTACGGCTGAACATCGCTCGAGAACTCCCTGCGGATTAGCACGCTCGAGATTTCGCGGGCTGAAGACATGTTTCAGTGATCTCCGTGTAGTGTTCATGTTGAGAAACGACATGAAGGTTGTTGTTAGCATTTATTTGGTCGCTCTCTTAGGCGTAGCCCAGTTCTTTGTTTGCGGTCGCCAGGCAGCTGTTTACCGCTGTACGGGTGAGCTCCCGTTCTCTCTCCTGAGAAACACAGAAAAAAACACGAGATTCGGTGGGTCATTTTCAGGAGTGAGCGTGCACCGTGGTATTGTTATATTTGCAGAAAAAAAAAAAAAAACACTAATGCGCAGCTCTGACGCAGTGCTCTACACATTCCTCAGAAAAGGGAACAAAAGTTTGTTCCAGTGTTGCCAGATGGTTCCACCAAAAAACCGCAAAACGCCTTGGAGGTATAGCCCAAATATAGCCAAAGCCGTAAACGCAATATAGCCCAAAATAGCCAAGACTAAAACAATGATTTTTAAGCCTTATATTGACAATTTCTCACACTCGTACAATACACGTTACAATCTCTGTTTCTACCCTCAGAGGCTCCACATTTTGTGTACATTATGTTAATTGTAAATGTAAAAAAGAAAAAAAAAAAAAAAAAAAAAAGCTTTGGAAGGGTGAAAGTCCGTACAAAAGTGTCCCTTCCTTCGTAGGTTTTCAGAAGTATAAAACACACAAAGACAGCTTTATTGTGAAGCCCGCGAGATATGATCATACAGTAAAAGAACAAGATGCAGAAGCAGAACAGTCAGAACACTGGGTGTTTCAAACCAGAACGCCAATACCTCAGGTCCTTACCAATATCCCACCCGCTATTTCTGATTGTGTTGTCCTTTCTTGGGGCGGGCAACGACTGGAAGGTAGTCAACTTTTTAGTGGTGAAACTACGGACTTCTCATTTTTACAAACTTGGGTGCCTAAGGATTCTCACAAGGGGCACCAAACCAGCATTTGGAGAGTTCAGTCTACGTCCGGGCCGAGCCATATGCGTCCGGTTTGAAGGCGCGCTACCGTGCCTGTGGTAATAGTGCAATCTGTTTGGTTTGCTCTGTTTGCTCCACTGCGCTGTAGGGAGACCGCTTGAACTCTGCAAGCATTGCTTCACTGGTCATTGTGAAAACCCCGAAGTTTGTAGAAGTTTGAATCCTTGCTCCTTTCTCTCTCCGCTCTTGACTAGCCAAAAGAGAAACAATATTTTTATTCAAACTGATTAAAAGCTCAAAAATTCACTAGCCGAATCTCAAAGTTCGGCGTCGAACCTGAGGTTCGACAAAAGTTCGCCGCATTCTTAGAAATAGCCCAAAATAGCCGCATAGCCAACCACAAAATTTTGACGCCAACTAGAAAAAAATGTAGCCCAATTTGGCTATATACAGCCCAATCTGGCAACACTGGTCTGTTCCTTCTGATTATTGGAACGTGTTCCCGCTCCGTACGTTCTTAACTTGCGCGCACGCTCGCACAGTCTAGATTTCTGCAGACTACACTAGGGGTGTCGCGAACCGGCCGCGGTTCGAGTTCGACCAGGTTCGACTTTTTCGAACTTTTAGTGGAAAGTTCGTCGAACCTTGTATTGAGGTTCGACTCGTGTGCGCATGCGCGAGAGGCTGGCCAGTTGGCTTCGGATTGGATGGTAATGGCTAAGAGATGAATTAAGTGCAGCGCTGATCGGCTATTTCAGTCAATACAGTACTAAAATTTAAGTTATGAACTTCTTCAGTGAATAAAATTAGTTTCTTTTAATTGCAGCTGTTCACACAATAAAATAACCCTTTGCATAAAAAAAGAAATTCTCCAAACCTAGACATGCTTGTATCAAGGTCTGGCCACACTGTCCACAAAGTCGAACCGGGCGAATCTGGTGAAAAGTTCGAAGGTTCGTCGAACTGGTTCGACCCAGTCGAACCCGGAAAGTTCGACCAAAAAATCTGGTTCGACAAAAGTTCGCGACACCCCTAGACTACACGCGCACACAGACCGGAAGTCGATTCCTGTGTGGACGGCCAGTGTTGCCAGATGGTCCCACCAAAAAACTGCCAAACGACTGAGAGGTATAGCCCAAATATAGCCAAAGCCGTAAAAAAATACAGCCCAAAATAGCCAAGACTAAAATAATGAATTTTAAGCCTTATATTGACAATTTCTCCCGCTCATACAATACATGTTACAATCTTTGTTTCAACCCTCAGATGCACCACC